TTCTATCCACCTTACAGTCCATTTTTCCAATCTATCTTTCCTTAACTTGCTGGCAAAAATACTGTAGAAGACCTATCAAAAGCTTTGCTAAAGTCAAGGCATATCACATCCACCAATTTTCCCTTGTCCACGGAGCCTGTTACCTTGTCATAGAAAGCTATCAGGTTAGTCAGGCACGACTTGCCATTGGTGAATCCATGTTGACTATTCCTGATTATGCTCCTCTCTTCCAGGTGCTGCAAAATGGATTCCCTCCATGATTTTTCTGGAGACTGAGGTGAGGCTGACCAGTTTGAGGTTCCCTGGATTATCCGTCTTCCTTTTTTTAAAGATGGGTACTACATTTGCCATCTACTCCTTTATTCTTTGTTTAATTAAATACATGCAGGCACAATAAATGTATTTTTATTGTAGGATCACACAGAGTTTGAATGGAACACTCAGTAAAAATTAAGTCTTCACTGCATCATGCTTGGTCATAAAATCATTATCATCATCTGATACAATTTTAAACTACAGACCAGACTTTTTGAAGAGCATACAAAATAATTCATGAATACGAACAACAAACCCACTTTTAAAATAAAAAGTAGCAAAATCTGGTTGATCTTAATGCACCTGGAAAAATATAAACTTGAATTCCTGAGACGTAATGCTTTGGATAATTCATGTGGAGTGACTTTTTAATTATTTTATTTTGAGTATAATTGCTGAGCGCTGAAAGCACAAAAATGGAAATCTTCTTTTACCCCATTTTGCCCTAGTAAGTTTCCAAAGAAAACACAAATATGGAATGGAAATGGATAGCATAGACAACTGTTTCTTAGGTATCTTTAATATGTTTGTATAAGAAAATAATTTCAACATCTGCAGCACATCTAGAATCATTTCTTAAAATCAACCCTTTATAGCTAATGTACTCCCATGATATATTCCAGTACACAGTACAAATAATTAAGCTCACACTCCCCTGAGGAAAGAGATAACCCACACTAGGGTTGTCAGCAATCTAGAGTTGTGCTACTTCACAAGTTCAAGAAAAACTTTGATTTATATATTATAGTCATGTATTATTTAAATAGGGTTACCAGATGTCCTAATATTAAGGGCTTTGTTTTATATAAGCAAATATCGTCCCCCTCATCCCAATTTTTCACACTTGTTCTATGGTTACTATACCCAGATAATCTGAAGTGCTGGATTTCTTTAAATTTTGTCAATGCTCCTGTTTGGAAGCGATACTGCTACATAGAGAAATATTGATGAAACACACCAACAATTAAAAAAAGAGCAGTTCAGTGTGATAGTCTTTTTCCTGGGCATATACAATCTAAAGTGATTTAAGTTTAGTGGAACACTTGATTTCATTTCAAGTATGTCAACTATAATTTGCTTCCAAGACATATGAAATCAATTTAAAATTCTGATGTAGTAAAATACAAGTGGAAACTAACGGCAAAATAGACATATGTAATGTCTAAGTTCAAAAATAATTTCTAATACTAGGGAATATGTCACTAGTTGTATGTATAACGCAACTTGAAGATATACGCATATATAAAATGTGCTTATGGAAAAGAATACCAAAATTACTTTTAAAAAAATCCAGGTCATAATAGTGAGATCATTAGACTGCAAACTGTCAAAACCTGGACAAAGAAATGAAATAGTCTAATCTTGAATAATTTTTATATCTATATATTTTCATCTTTGCATAGTGAAACTTCCCTCAATTACTAGATTTGGTCTAAAGTTGAAATTGGTATAATTAAATAAACAATGTAGAGCCCTAATCCTGCAAAGCCTTATTTGTATGAAGTATTTCTACTGAAGTTAATAGGACTGCCCATGTCAGGAGAGACCTTGTAATGGTGCTAAGGATCCCACTCTAGTGAAAAAACTTCATCATCCATTTGATCATAACCCCTAGGAGTTACAAGGGGAAAGAAGGGGGGAATGAGGAGAAAATGGTTCTAGGAATTAAAAAAAAATGCAAATTAGGAGTTCTTTATGCTTTTGATGGCATACTATTAAGATGAATTTTGCATAATTGATGTTAGTTACTGAACATATTGGTCTTGGTAATATGATGGAGGTCAGTATTACTGTTTTTTAGAAGATTTGAATACCTACACAATGCTAGTGTACTCCTTTCCCTCTCATCTTCCATTATCTGCCTGGCTTACAAAATTTTAAATCTGTTCTCTGCCTCTGAAATTCAGTTTCTGAATCACCATGTAATAGAAAATGCAACAACACACACTGGAAACTGTCGCAATTGCTAACACAATCTTAGTCACCAGCAGCCACCACAAGACAATTTGGCTGCTAGCAAATCCTGATTAATGACTTTTTCATTTTAGCG